CAAAAAAATCTGTCATGGGATCCTCTGAGAGATGGAATGTTAAATCTTAATGATAGACTATTTTAGGCAGTTGACCCTGTTTTATATCAAAAGTAGGCCTAGGGATTCACCGCTGGCCAAAAGAGAAAGAAATCATGTCGAAAGCATGTCGAAAGCATGTCGAAAACTTAGAAAAGTGCTATAATTGCAAATGTAAACAAAAAGAGTGATAAAATTACACCTACCGGGAAATTAATCCGTTAAAAAATATATATTTATGTAGCAGCAAAGTGAATCTAAGTATGCGAGTTCAAAAAATGAGTTTGCTGTCTGTAGCTCTGAGTGCTTTAGGTGAAAACTGTAAATTGATGTTGTAACCACTGCATTGGTTGGCAATTAGGAACCTTGGACAAAAGGATCTGTCCTTTGACTTATATAAACAATTTTCCAGGACTGCCTTTCTTCAATTTCATAATGTCACCACAAATTGTACCATGCTATCTTAAGACTGATGCAGATAAACTGATCTATGTATTTGTAACGTCAATTTTTTCCAACTGTAACTCTTCATTTTAGTATTGTACATTTAGTATATAGTATTATATACTCATCTGGTACCATGAACTGCTCCTATAATGTTTTCTTTCCTGTAAAAACCCAGCCGGTCAAGGTGGATGTACCCCCTTCCTGAGTGGTTCTGACAGAGGTTTTCTTCCCGTTTAAAGAACCTTTTTTCTTCCATATTTTCTCTGTAAACACTCAGACAGGGGGATTGGATCAAAGAGACATTTCATATACTGTGACGGACTGGTGGCCAGTCCAGGGTGCATCACACCTCTCACCCAGTGTCGGATTCAAGACGCTGACCACGTTAAGTCTCAGGCCTGGAGTAAAGGTAGCAGCGGTAGAAAGTGGGGAAGAAATCGTTCACGGATTTGACGGATTCTCCTGGACCTTCTCTGCAGAAAGTTTGGCTGTGAAGATAACAGTGGGACAAAATACAGAGGAACACAAAACAATAAAAGAAAAGGGCTGAAAATCAGTAGCCCGATAGATGGATGAACCCTCCCCAAACATGATTTGAAGATGTGTGGGATCACCTTGGACAGAGAATAGATCAAAGCGTCCAGTGAAGAGCTTTGGAATGTCCATCAGGATGGGATCAGGCTGTGCCGGAGAGATCAAGGTGTTCAAACAAAAATACAGACTTCCAAGCTTGTTAGAATTGTAGAAACTCTAATTTTTTAATAGACGATCTTCATTTATCTATTAGTTGATTTTTTTGTTTTTTTTTGCCCAAACCAGCATGTAAATAACTCTATCTGAACAGTTATGCAATTATCAAGATAGAAATTGATCAAATCCGACCCGAAATCCATCTCGACAGAATGCCAGAACTCAAATTAACTATCCAAATAGTTGCTATACATTTTCCTGCTATGGATGAAACGACTGGCATCATGTGATGATTCCCATCTGTATTCATGGATGGGTGGCGTGTGTTGGGCTGGGCGTGCACGGCCTGCTGGTCTGTGCACGGGTGATGGGAGCCCCCATGTGGCGAGAGTTAGCCACAGCTCCACGGTGCTGTCAGGGACAGGAGGAAATCCCAACGCCGCCCGCGTGGCAAGCAGGAGAGAACACAGCACTTCTTTGCATAGAGGGCATCTTAAAACCTTTAATAAGCCAAAAATACAAATATGGAACAAATTTCCTGTTGTACAAAGAGTTTACTAACACACAACTTACGATCACCAGGAGAAAGAAAGAACAACGGACTGGTGCGAATGCTACAGATGAAGGCTCTTCATCTTAATCTCAACGTGGGCTTCAGACGGAATCCATACAACAGACGAACAGACACCGAAATAAAAAATAAATCCTTTCAGTTTGACATTTCTGAAGCGTCGCTAGTAATAATAAACACATGGCATCGACATATTTCTCTGTTGCAGTAACATTGAGGCAGTGTGGCGTTTCCTACAGGTCAAAACACCAGGCGTGATACCCCCTCCGAGCTTGACCCCTCCGAGGTCTCATTCCAATCCATTACATAGTTCGAGCTACGAGCCGGGTTGGAAAAACAGATGGATTTTTTTTTTCTCGCAAGCCTACGTGACATTTAGTAGACGGGGATGAAATGCGAAGCCCTTTAGTCGTAAATAATTCAACCATGAGTTCTGCCCCACTTTGGGTTTCACGAGGAGGAGGAAAAAGGCGAAAACTCGCCCGGTTCGGCCGACGTGGGGAATAAAAAATAAAAGCAGCTCGGTCATTTGAATCTGCGGTCACACGACACCCTCGTGGAAAGAGAAGAAATGAGGAGAAATGCAACTCCGTGATGACCAAAAATTCAAGAAGCTGCAGCCAGCTGAGGTCAGAGTGGAGATGCATGTCGTTACAACCCTCCAAAGGAACCTGCACAAGCTTAAAAAACAATCTCAACATATAACCTTTCAACTATATCTAGATATCTTTAAATTCATCAAGCAAACTTCAAACGTAGTCCCGTCATAACTAATGTGTTGTATGTATACTAATAATCAACTCATATAATAAAATGCTGGTCCACAGGATGGACCAGAGTTCCGTATATCCTGCTGAGACGTCTCGTGCACAGAGAGGCCTCAGAATCTGACGAGAGGTTTAAAGTTGTGCGGTTTATCGGTTTATCTGGGTTCTGACCTCGGTTTTTCACCGGCTGACACAAATCTCGCTCGTCTCTAATTTCCCACGTAGTCCCGGGGCTGCGAAAACGACAAACATGTCAGAAATCCACCGCAACGTTTGAACGCACTTACAATCAATCGGCTCTTAAAACGAAGTAAAGAAAAGAACAATTCCAGGCACTTCTTTTTCTCTAAAAAAAAATAAAAAATCAAGTCAAACTGCAAGAAAAAGCCAAAAAATAGCAGAAATCTGACATCGACCATTTTCTTTTGCCTTTTTCCATTCTTGGACCTTAGGCTCTCACCGGCCATCACAAAAGGCGACACCCATATGGAAATAGAACTGTTCTCAGGAGGTGTTCACCAGCCCTGATGTCCACTATATTTAATAGAATTAAAACATCAAATTTATCCATCCATCCGTTCGCTATGTACACCACAAATCAATAACTCCAGTTTCACAAAATGTGATGAGTATGCTGTCACTCTTTGGTCCATTTTTTGCCACTTTTTGTCAAAATAAGAGTATTGTATTTTTACATATTCATTTTATGTCCGTTCCAGGTTGTTTTCGTCACTATATTATCAGCCGTTTGTATTTCACATACAATTACATCTGATTTTCTCATTCATCTGCCATGCTGCTACCACAAGATTAACTTGAAGTTTATGCCAGCAGATGTCAAGATTTTGCCAGTCTGTTCCTAAAAAGTAGGACCAAGGATTTGTTAAGAAAATCTGGGGCTTTGTTTTGCCGTATTTAAAAAAAAAAATACTGGAAACCCAATTGTTTTGTAGACATAAGGTTTGTAGCAGAAGTTCTGTTAGCTCCCTGTATTGCTGTCCAGTCGTCACAACACAGTGACTCCCCAGCAGTTTCCCGCTAACCACTAAAAGATATTTACAGATTTTATCAGAAATCCCAAACTATGTTCATTTCTAATCAAACATGTCATATTTCCATTCGGGCAAATCGGCTTCACTCCAAACGCTGGTCATCTTTTCCGCGTTAACAGCCTAGAAAGTGCTGCAGTGTCTTTTTCCAAAGATCCCCCCAAAAAATTAACAGCAAAAATATGGAACGTTGCACCCACACACACACACACACACACACACACACACACACACACACACACACACACACACACACACACACACACACACATGCATGCGCATACACACTTTAAACATTCACAACTGAAATAATGCACTAAGAATTCATGGAATTCAAGCAATGTCCATCACCACGAATGATATCCAAAGAACACAAATCACCAGAGTGGGACACGTGGATGTTAAGACACTGTAAACGGGGTCGAGATGACGGGTGACAACTAAATCTGTGCAAAGCTGAGCGATATTTTGAAGGCTACAAGGGTGTTACACTGTTATTGGAAACCCTGCCTCGTGAGAGACACTGAAAACCAAAAGAAAACTCAGGTGGCTAAATGTTAGGCAGTAGAACAGGCAGAAAAACCGCTTAATCTGTTGCTATTTGGCCAACCGTGGGTGAAAGGCTTACTATTCTGTTATCCATTTCATTTTTGGATGTTTGAATAAGAAATTATTCAAAATACAAAGTAAAGAAAAAGTACATGAGGCCTCAAAAACTTTGTTCTTACTTCCTCCAGATTTCTAAATAGCATCTGTTGTCTAAAAAACTGTTTAAATTGAGAATTGGTAGTGTTCAATACAAATCTAAGTGGGGAGAATATGAGATTTACATACAGTAAAGTGCCAAAGGCAAGGACTATATCAGTGACGATTATAGGGTTATATGTTACTGCACCCCCAGATGCATTAAGAAATGATAGTTTACAGTTTGTTGTGGAGTTATGGAGTAAACAAAATATTTAAAGAGGTTAGGTTGTGAAGATCAGAAGTAAAGAAGTACATTAGTTGCCATTTTTATGGGGCCATACCATGCTACAACAGGACTAGCTTATCTGCTAGCTGCAGGAACCCTCGCTTAAACTTGACACCCGTGAGTCTCCTCAGTGGTCCAAAAAGCCACAATAAGATCGGATTAGAGACAGTGTCACAGTGGTTGACTCACTCCTTAAGCGTTATGTTCCTCAGAAAATCTTGGAATGCCTTTTAGTTCAAACCCTATCCTCGCGTGAATGAGAAAGTAAAACCGTGGTCTGCGGGTTAGGCTCATTTTTTTTTCAGTCACTTTGGAATATAATCGCTCAATTTTGCATATTGTTACCAACAAAAAAATGACCGACAAAAAATTAAGTCAGAGCCCAGAGGAGAATGCCAGTTTCTGATAATACAGTACGAAGGCCGGCTGTTTGAACAGGTTAGTAGCAACAAAAGGCAAAGTTGGATTTACGCCCCCGGCATCGCCTAGAGCCCTGTGATATCTACGATGGCCTTGATGAAGATGGTGTCGTCGCGGATGTAGGAGTTTTTCAAGTCCAGCTTGGAGAGGGGGCAGAAGAGCGGGCAGCCGCTGGCGATGTTCATGTCGCTGACCGGCCTCTGGAAGGACGAGGACGAGATGTCGGGACGGAAGGCGTCGATTATGTGCTCCCTGTTGTTCTGGTCGAGCAGCATGAGGGTAACCTGTGTAAAGATTCCAGGAGTGTGACCTCCCATCTGTAACTGAACCGATGCTTTAAGGAGCTGCTCATTCTCGACTAACAATCTATAAAGAAAATTCCTTTCAGATGTGTCTGGGGCTAGCTGTGATTATTTGAAGCTCCTTTTCTGAAGATGGGTCTTTTAGTTAGCATTTCAAACTTTCTGTGAAACAATCAAATCTCTTAAGCCCCAAAAAGAGCTAAAATCTTTGAAGATCTTTAAGTTGGAAATGGTTTGTAGTTACAACAGGTCTTGTATATGAAAAATGCACATAGAAAAAGGTGTAAATACACACCTCAGATTCTAAAACTCCCGGTCCTTCAAGTAAGGATTTTTCTGTTTGTCTGGGTTTTTTTGGTCTTTTTTCAGGTCCATCACAGGTATGTAGGTTTTTTTTAAGGTTCAGGTACGTCACAATTTTCATTAAATGTTTTTTAATAATGTTGAGTCAGCTCCTTTGTGCTAAAAGTGTTTTTATTTCAAATTCGTGTTGTAAAAAAATCTAATAAAAACTAAAACAGCATAAAAGCCTATGGTATGTAGTGTTTAAAATAAATTTAAATCACTCCAAACAAATAAAATCATGGAAAACATGCTAAAAAGCAGCTATTGTGCTAGCTTTCGGGCATTGTGGCCCTTTGTCAGGCTTCTGGAGCAAAAGAACAAGGATTACGGTTAGGTTAGGGTTAGGCTAGGTTAGGTTTAGGGTTAGGATTAGGTTAGGGTTAGGTTAAGGTTAGGGTGAGGGGGAGGACTGGTGAAGGAGCAGGAGGAGAAAGGCACCCTGCACAGTCTTGTGTTATTATGCAAATTCTCCTCAAGCAAAAGTTTAGCAGAAGTTTATCTGAGCTGATCCAGAATCAGCTAAAGTAGCATTATATCTAATCTGATATAGAAAAAGCTTTTACCTTCTGATTGAAAGGCCACTTGAGGAGTGCGTCGCTGTGTCCTCTCATCACCACAAAGAAAAGAGATAAGTGGGTACCACGGCCCGTCCCGTCACCGTTCAGGTAGATGCGCAGGCACATCTTGTATCCGTATTTGCTGGTATAAAAGGCTGGAAAACAGGAATCAACAGTCAAGGATAACAAGGCACGTAACGCTGTGTTGGAGGGTCACGTGACCGCGCAAACCTCTTACCAGGAGAGAACATGGCGGGAGCCCGGCCGGCCACGGCGTCCTGTCTCTTCTTGGTGAAATCGGAGATTTTCCAGATGAAGACGCCGTCGTAGGTGGCGGCAGACATCTCCCTCATTTTCCCCTCCATCTCCACGATGGAGAGGTCTCGGAGGCTCACCGTCCGCTCCAGCTGACGCACCTGCGGCGGCCAAAACACGTGAGGGTGACCGTTTGGCCCATGTTCAAATCACAGAAGTCAAAGCAGCAGCGGTGGATGCTTTGGGTAGAACCGATGGATGGGCCTCGGTTTGGGATCTGGGATCGCCTTGCTAAGGCAGGAGGCCTTCAAGTGCCCCCTCTAAACCTGTGGGTTGTTTGATAGCACTAACTGGATGAAGGTTAGAAAAGTATAAGGTGCAGAGTAGGCTTGTTCTGATCCGATATTTGGATTGGATACCGATATTTGCAAAAAAATGCGTATCGACCTGAGAACATCCCAAACCAGACTCCCGAACCAGTCCAATCCCACACGAGCATTAGCATCTCCTAACCCACAGGTCTGTGTCCTAACCATTAAGTTGTTATTAGTAAATCCCTGTTCAACATGAGTCTGACAACTAAGTAAGAAGGCTAAATCACTTTAAACTTGAATATATGCTCCGATAGGCCGGGATCGGTATTGGATCGGAAGTGCAAAAAGCTGGATCGGGACATCCCCAGTGCAGAGGACACTGGAGCTTTCGGGACCCGTGAGTCACCTTGTTGTTGAGAATCTCTATCTTGTCCTGGTCGAGCCGGTGCTGGCGGTTGTAGGCCTCCATGGTGGCGCAGGAGCGCTCCATCTCCCGGTTGAGGACGCAGACGATGTTCTCGAAGGTGCCCACCTTCAGCTCCAGCTCCTGGCAGCGCCGGCTCAGCTCCGCCACTTTGCTCTTCTCGCTCTGGAGCTGCAGCTCCAGGGCGGCGCCCGCCGCGCTGGGCAGCGGGGTGAAGGAGGTGGCCAGCGGGGGGGCGCAGGCGCCCAGGGCCGGAGCGCCGACGCCGCCCGCGGCCCCCCCGCCCCCGCCCCCGCCCAGCTGGCTCATCTTCAGCTCCAGCTCCCGGAGGGACTGGTGCAGCTCCTGCAGCTTCTGGCTGGCCACCTCCAGGCTCTGGGGCTGCAGGCTCTCCAGACTCACCTTGATGCCCATGATGAAGTGCAGCAGCAGGTTGAGGTGTTCGTAGGAACACTGCCGCTCGTGCTCATGGATCTTCTCTTTCTCCACCTTAAGGAGGCAGACAGATGCAAACAGAATCGCCTTAAGACAATGGTGGTCCTCACCCATTTAACCTTTTTTTTTTAACAAAGAAGAGGTCAATAACAGCTAATTCTAGATATAAACATTGATACATACATATCTATCTATCTATCTATCTATCTATCTATCTATCTATCTATCTATCTATCTATCTATCTATCTATCTATCTATCTATCTATCTATCTAT